TTGCTTAATTACAGGTTTCCGAGCCGGGCTGAGGAAGAGAGATACTTAACTGTGTCCCCGGGAAGGCCTAGGCGGGCTCTCAACTGGCTTGTAAGGTTGGGGAGTACAAATACCCATCTCCACCCGCTCCCTGCCCAAAGCCCCCTGAGCCAGGATCCTGGAGGGGAGGCTGGGGTCTACGGCGTGGTAGGCTCGGGCTGACCAGAAAGAGCCATCCTGTGTGGGCTTTGAACGCTCAGTTGGGACGGGAGTCCCAGGCTCACCAGTGCCGGTCATCGGTGAGGCCACAGGCCTGGGGAGGCCCCGCCTCAGGCTGCAGCAGCGCTGTTCGCCCTCCTACCCCCCCCCCACTCGCGGGAGGCCAGGGGCCCTCGGCCCAAGGGGGGAAATCAATCCCGTGCTAATGAATAAAAAGTCCCCTTTATTTCACTGCTGTTTTTGGTTCATTAAATTTTCCACAGATTTGCAGAGAAGAAAACATAATCAATAAACCCTGACAAAAGTGAACGTGTGAAAAAGGCCAGAGAATGGAAAAGCGAGATAAAAGTGATATCCGATCACAGATTTCAGCAGCAGATGACGAGCTGGGGGCTGCTGGAGAATCTCAATGGACCATCACCCTTTCGCGGCTTTCCTTCCCTTTGCTGAAACTCTTCATTCAAGACAATAGTAAATGCACTAAAACTTTTTTCTTATGCTAATGCATGAAACCGGGCACTCACAGTTAAAACACACTTCCCAGCAACCTGTTTTTTTTTTTTTTAACAACACACATGCAAACACACAAAACCACATTAACTTATTCAATTTAAATGAAAATCTCAAAAATGGTTTAATATGTACTCTTTGGTCACACCTTCAATGACTTATTTTCCCCCGTTTGCACGTTTTTTAAGAAACGAGGATCAGAACACAACCAGGATTACTGAGGATGCTTTTGTTGGTGAAGAAATTGGGAAAAATAAGACATTAAAAGCAAAGAAAGCATGCTGTTCTCATTAGTGCATTTTCTCAGGGTTTTACCATCGTTTTGTAGGTGAAAGGTGCTTCTGTCACCCTCAGAATCTAAAAACAATGACCTATGATTTGTTTTTAAAAATCTTTTATATTCCACAGCAAACACCCAAATTAATTTTGGAGAAAATGAGTAATATTGAGTCTGGTGTCGTGTGTTTACTCAAAAACCACAAAGCTGTTACTCTTTACCAAAGGACACTACCAAACACCAGTGTCCCCTTCCCTTTGGGTCTTTGAAACAAGCCTCAGGAAACAATTACAGGGTCGCTTTCCTCCCCGAGGTCTTTAGACTGCTGCATATTCTGGTAGTGCGTATAGTCACCTATTCCGCCTCTGAATTTTCTGGAATCTGAGAATAGTTTCTCTCTTTGGCATTCTTCACGTGTTTCATTCGTCCCTGCCTCTGACACTTACTGAAAAGAAGAAAGGGGTGGGGGGGGGGAGGGATGGCTTCCCTGGGGTTCCCTTTCAAAGGACCCTGGCCCAGCGGGAACAGCTGTGGCCGTCCACAGCGACAGGGTCCACCTGGCCTGGCCATTGCTCCTGCACCAAGGACCGGGCTCTGGCACAGGTAGAAACCCCCACCCCCACCCCCCAACACCGGGGCCTGAAGAAGGAAGACTGGTTTGCTCTACCTCTCTCAAACCAGCGTCATGAGTGAGCGTCCTTCAGATGAACACAAGCCCTGATGAACACACACTTTCCCAAGAAAAAGCAAGCAGCCCTACCCGTAGCGTTCACAAGGATGTAGGGCTCCTTTCTGAGCGTTAACAAGCCCGCAGGGTGTGTAGGGGTCACACAGGCTTTCAGAGTGCACACGACAACCTCCTGGTCTCATTTAAAGGGAATTGCTGGCATCTGTGGGGTGAAGTCCCCCCCCCCCCGCCCCGGGGTGGCCGAGGGAGGCCCTGATGGGAGAAGGGTGTTTATTAGACAAATATCCAATTTTGTCTGCCTGCCTGCTGAATCTCCTGGCTTGCTAATCCAGCCCTATGGGCCGCACTGTGTACAGGGCACTTGTGGGAGTACAAAAAGCATGAAGTATTTGTGTATTTTTCAGTCGGCAGTGCAAACAAGCCAGCTACAGTACACAGCCTCCAAGACCCCCACGGCCAGGCAGTGAGCCGCTGACCGGCAGCCCTGTGGCCCCCTCTTCCGTCCAGGCAACTCAAAGGATCTCCTCTGTCCAATGCTCTCCCCACAAGGCCTGGAGCACCCCCGAGAAAGTGGAGTGGCACTCCAGAAGGGCCTTGCCTAATTCCACACACACTTCGAGGTGGGGCCCAGTCCAGAGTTCCCTCCAAGGCCACGGCCAGGGTCAGTGCGAGCTGTAGAGGTTCCCCCCACAGCCTTGGGAGGTTCTGCTGAAGGAGTCTGGACCCTGCAAACTCCCCCTCGAAACAATTCCCACGGAGGATAAAAACATCTCTAACGGTCCCACCCTGTTCCTCGGGAGCCTGGCCCGGCTTTGGGGGGCGGTGGTTCTCCCTCTTGGCCTCACCCGCTCGCTGACTTGGAAAACAGACTGCTCTCACTGGTCTCTCAGATGCCAGAGCAAGGGCCGGACAGCTCACCCGAGGGCGATCTCGTGGGCAGGTGGGCTCCTCACCTACCTGGGACTCTTCCTGCATCAGGGTAGATCCCCCTAGAACCACTAAATCACCTCCCAAAGTCGGCGGGTTTCTCAGAGCAGAAGGAAAATACAAAACCAAACTTGGGTAATACGAAACAGTAACTGACTTTGAAACTCTTAGACAAGTGACAACTTTCCTTGTGTCTGGGTTCGAATGGAATCTGAATCGGGGAGAGAACATTTCCACAATTTCCAGTAACCCTCAGCCATGGGAGGGAGAAGCAGGCAAGTCTAGGAAAACGGAAGCAAGAAAGATGAAGGAAGGAGAAGAAAAGTGTGGCCAGAGGCCCACGGGAGGGAAGCCTGCAGGGCACACATCTGCAAGTTCTAGAGTCCACATTCTAGAACAGCCCCAGGGCAGACCAGAAGCTGGGAAAAGCCCAAATGAAGAAAGTCAAAATTAAAAGCAGCCAAGCGTGGCCAGGGCGCCCTCCCCTCCCCTGGGGAAGACCAGCCCAAGTAGCCACACAAAGAATTCCCTCCGGTGGGTGCAACTGCAAAGTTGCTCCCAGGCCCAGGGAGGCCTGCCCTCAGACACTAGGAAGCGGAGGGAAGGAAACTCCCAGCCAAGGTAAGGAAATGGGCGGGGAGGGGGCCCGGAGGTGAAGTGGCCAGAACAGATCTCATCAGGGGGACTTGCGACTAGCCTGCTCACTCCTCCGCTTTCCACCGCTGTATATTTTGGATTTCACAGTTTATTTACTTTACTTTTTGGCACTGGGCCCCCTGAGCATGCCAATACAATATTTGTTTAAACACTATTTTATGCCGCTTGCGAGGGAAACGTTTACTTTCAAATTCTCCAACATCCCCCAGAGCCTCGTCTGCAAACAGCATATGAGCGTTTTACAACTGCTCCCTTTATCTGAAGCTGTCGGGATTAAACCTTCACACGCCCGGCGAGGGCGGCGGCGCGGGGGCCCAAGACTCCGCCGCGGCCACCGGGCTGCAAAGCCCGCGCCAGAGGCCGTGCACCCAGCGGGATGCCCGGGTGGGAGGGCAGAGCGGCGCAGGAAACACCCCCCCCCACCCACCCACCCCCCAGGGCCCGGCACCGGACTTGGGAAGGGTGCGCTTTTCCAGCAGGGATCGACCCAGAGAGCCACATGAAAATTATACAAAAGGGAGGGGAGTTAAGGGAGGCACCCAGGCGGGGTTTGGGGGGCGGGGGGGGGAGGGGAGCGAGGCCCGCAAGCGCGTCCGAAGTCGGTCACCCAGGGTGAAGCGCGCGGGCTCCATCCAGAGCTCCTCGCGCTGTAAAAGTCGGGTTTCCTAGGAAATGACAGCAATTACTGCCGGGCTGAAAAGGCGCCGAGTAGGGTGGACTTTCAGCTCCCCGACGCGGCGGGCGCGCTCACACTCGCACACGCACACGCTCCCTTCCTCCTCCCCTCCCTACCCACCCTCCGCCCCCGTCCGGGAAAAACGCTCCCCTCTCTAAACCCTTAATAGGATTGGCGCCCAACTCTCTACGCGCCTCTCCCCATCCATCACACACAGATCAAGTTGCAGTAGTGGATTTTTCAAATTCCTCAGCAAATATACTTGTTGAGAGATTGGCCCTTCGGGGGGTGGGGGGGGGGGGACGAGGAGGGGGGGGGGCGGGGATGAAAGTGAGGGGTGGGGGGACCCGAGGACCGGGCCAGGGATTACGTGCGGATCCCTTCGAGAAGTCAAGCGGATCTAGGGGCGGAGGGCAGGGGAGGAGGAGGAGTTGGCGGAGAGAAGCAAGGAGGGAGGCCGGAGAGGAGAGCCTGACCGAGGGGGAGGGGGGCGACAGGGCCCGAAGACCGGGAGGAAGGAGCGAGGAAGAAAGAAAGGCAGGGCTCCGCGACGGGTAGCGCGGAGAAGTGCAGTCAGAAGTTCCCAAGTGGCTGGCCGCAGCCCCTCCACACACCGCACACTCCCCTAAGTCACGCTCCCACCGTCCACCTCCGGGAGCTTCGCAGCATCCCAGCCTCCGGTGCTACCCACCACCTCCCGCACAAACAGCCCGCGTCTTAGACGCGGTGAAGACGGGTTGCGGGCCGGCCAGGCTGTGCAACGGGAGAGGACGGGCTCTTCCCCCAGGTAGGAAAGGGGATGCAAAATCGCCCACCGGCCACAAGTTCCTTGCCCTGGGGCCCCCGCCCCCTTTTCGTCCCCGCCCGGCTTGGCCAGAGCCCGAAACGGCGCCGCCTCGCCAGCCCCCGGCCCCCCAAGCCCGGTGCCCCGATCCCTGTGCCGTGGCGAGCATACACGGCCGAGGGACCCTCAGAGACGGCGCAGCATCCCAGTCGCCCCGGGCTCGGACGGCGTAGGGAGCACTTCGCAACGAAAAGCAAGCAAAAGAATGCCAATGCAACTTTACCGAGGGAGACAAAAGTTTGCCTCTAGCACGCAGGTGGCCTCTGGGGCGCCGAGCGGTGGCTTCGGGCCCCCATCCCAACTTGGCTGGCGCGGCGACCCGCCGCGGGCTGCCGTGTACCGGGGCTCAGTCCGGCCGGGGCGGGGCGGGGCGGGCCAGGCAGGGGAGGGGACCGAGAGGCGGGCGGGGGCCCAGCAGCCCCTACCGCCGGCGAGCCGGGAGCTCCCCTAGGCTCCCGCGCGCCGCGCGGCCCACGCTCCTTGCTTCAGCTCCTCCGGCTCCTCTGGCTCCCCCGGCGCCTCCTCGCCTTCCTGCGCGCCCGCCGCCGCCGCCGCCGCCGCCGCCGCCTCCCGCTCCTCCTCGAAGTCTCATTGATGGTAGTTTGAAAAAAAGTCCGCGGAGCCGTGCTGCCTCGGCTGGCGAGCTCCGGCACTCCTGCAATCCATCAGCGCCGCCCGGACGGCGCAGCGCCCCCGCGCGCACGGCTGCAGCACACCCGGGCGCCGCGCCCCCGCCCGCGCCGCGCGCCCCCGCCTCCGGGGGCACCCGGGGGACCCGGGGCCAGGGGAACCTGGGGGTGGGGGGAGGGGCGGCCGAGGATCCTCTTCCCCAGCACCGAGTCTCGAGAGAAAGCACACCTACGAACAAAGTTCGAGCAGGGAACGAAAGAACGCGCCAGTTTCCAACACTTTTTTTTTTTTTTTAAGGGGCCGGGGTTGGGGGGGGGGGGGGGGGGGGGTCGCTAACTCAAGTCAGATGAGCTCCGGGACTGAGGCGCAAGGACTGCTCTGTTTTCAATCTCTGAAATCACCCGCCCTCCCCACCTCCCTCTTCCCCTCCGCCGGGAGATGCCCGGGTCGCAGTTCCTAGTGCGCCCGCTCCTCCGGGCGCCGGGGCGGAAGCCGGGGACTGGAGGCAAAGGGGGGAGGGCGGCCGGCTCCGAGCGGACCCTCTTCCAGCCGGCAGGGCGCGCAGGTGCCTGGGGTCCTGCCCGCACCCCCCGCTGCGGCTCGCACGAGTCGCCTTCCCAGCGCCTGCAGGCGAGAGGCGAGAAGCCTTCTAGGTTTGGTACATGTGTGTTTTGCAGGGAGGGGTTTTGTTTGTTTTGTTTGTTTTGGGTTTTTTTTTTTTTTTTTTAGAGACTCCACTCTAGTTTCCACAGCCAGATGGAAGTAATCAGAACCCAACAACAACAGAGGAAGAAGGAAGAAAAAAAACTCACTGAATTTTGGGCCAAAGTGTATATGGGGGTGTGTGTGAAAGAACGCGCTTAAGCAAACTGGGTGACTCGCTCGGGCCCTCAAGCCACACCATCGCCCAGAACTGAGCGGCCTCGCTTGGAGGAGCTTGGGAGCCGCTGGCTAAAGCGTCCCCTAAGTCCTCTGGGGCCACCATCCTGTCTTTGCTGACGGTTCTCCCCCAAAGAGTGCCTCACTGGGGGATTGGTTTTTTTTTTTAATGTTTCTTCCCAACGTTTGTGAAACACCTTGTGCTAGGTGACGAGTAATCGTTCCTGACCAGTAACAACTCCTTTATATTATTTAACCTACAAAAGTCAGAGATTGGTTCACTTCCCCATTTTACAGCTGAGAAGACTGAGCTTAGAGGAGTTAGGTAACCTGTCTGAGGTCAGAGCACAGAGCCACCATCTGTGAATTTCAGTGGGTTGTACCATTAGTTCAACTAAATTGGCCCAGTTGAGACGGGTGGGAGCATCTCTCTCCCTCAGCCTCCTTCCCTGCAGTTGCTTCTTGTCTGGAATGCAGGGGGAAACAAAGGCTCGCAGGGGCAATTCCACACCCCCTGTGGGGGTGTGACCTTCACAAGCCCATTTTACTGATACACTCCCTTTGGGTCAGTAGCTCTCTCCATATACCATTGACCATTCCCTGACTTTATTTTTCACCTTTTAATCAAAGAGGGAAGGAACAGTATGGTCCCCGTTCCCTACCACCTACCTTCCTTCTCTCCCCCTTATCTTTCTTCTTGACCTAGAGGAGAACATGTGCAGAACGATTCTGATTTTGTTTTTCCCCAAATGGGCTCCCCGGGTGGGAAAGAAAATCCACAGAGTTTTTAAAAAGCAAAACTTGTAGAAGCCAATGTATTTATCAAAGGGAAGCAAAGTTTGAAAGGGGCTTTTTCTTTAAATATGATCGGATTCACCATTCCTCTGTGCTATTTGTTTAAATTCCTGCTGAGCTTTTGGAACACAGACTCCAAGGAGACAGAAAAAGTAAACTCTCCCTCCCTGCCTTGGCCATATTTTAATGATCCTTTTCATATCTACCCCCATGAAATGCGGGGAATCATTTCATGTTACGGGAATATTAGCTTCGTCGGCTGATTACTTCCTTATAAGTGTGTCTCTGTTGGTTTCCCTGTGTTGTTAGGTTTGTGAAGGAGTTTAAACAAGTCCACATTTTGAGAGATTTCCTTTTTCTCTGTTTTTTCCTCTCAAACCAGCTCAACTCCTGCTGGAATCCAGGCACTCCCATAACCTTTCCTGGCTTCTTTTGGCCAGGAGGTGACTGTAAAGATGAGGGTGGAATGTTCTCGGTTTGAGGAGAGGCTCTAGACACCATGCCTTAATCTGTAGACAGAAGTTTGGACGCTGGAAAAAGCAACAAGGTTCACAGCAGAGAAAGCCTTCATCTGAGCGTTGGGACACTGAGTTCTGCTTCCAGATCTAATACTAAACGTATGGCCTTGGGTAAGTCCTGGTTCATTCAGTCGGCAACTTTCTGTGAGCCAGGTGATGTGCCAAGTGACCCCACATCACAGTGAGGAAGACTGGTGAGCACCTTTCCTGTGTGAACTTAGCGTTTCATTAATAACCACAAACAGGGGCGCCTGGGTGGCTTGGTCAGTGGAGCATCTGACCGCAGCTCAGGTCATGATCCCCACGGATCGGATTGTGGGTTGGGACCCCGCATCAACCTTTGCACTGACAGCGTGGGAGCCTGCTTCAGATCCTCTGAGTCCCTCTCTCTCTGCCCTTTCCCCCACTCGCACTCTCTAAGATAGATAGACATTAAAAAAATAACCACAAACAAATATATAATCGGAAACTGGGTAAAGAAAAAAAAATGCAACGTGCTCCATGCTTGTGCCTGGTGACCTGAGCCAGCACGGGGGGCGGTGCAGGGCTCAGGGAAGACATTCCTGAGAAAATGAGGTTGCACTGGCGTGAAGAAGGAATGGACAACCAAGGGAAAAATAAGAAGTGGAACCACGTTACACTGAAAAGCGATGGAAACAACAGAGTGAAAAAGGCATCCTGTGGAATGGGAGAAAAATATTTGCCGATGATATATCTGAGAAGGAGTTAATTTCCAAAAAATATAAGGAACTCCTAAAACCCAATAGCAAAACCACAAATGACCCAAGTCAACATGGGCAGAGGACCTAAACAGACATTTCTTCAAAGAAGATATCCAGATGGCCAACAGGTACATGAAAAGGTGCTCAATTTCACTCATCACCAGGGAAATGGAAATCAAAGCCATGATGAGCTATCACCTCGCACCTCTTAGAGTGATTAGGGTCAAGATGACAGGCGGTAACAAGTGTCAGTGAGGTTGCAGTGAAATTAGAACCCTTGTGCGTTGTTGGTGTGTATGGGAATGCGAAATGGTGTAACCGTTATGGAAAACAGTATGGAGGTTCCTCAAAAAAATTCCAGATTAGGATATGATCCCCAATCCCACTTCTGCGTATATATCCAAAAATACTGGAATTGTGATCTCAAAAAGATATCTGCACTCTCATGTTCATTGCAGCATTATTCATGGTAACTAAGATCTAGAAACGACCTAAAAGTACATTATCAAATGAAGGGAAAAAGAAAATGTGGCATATACATGCAATGAAATATTAGTCAGCCTTAAAAAAGAAGGACATCTTGGGGTGCCTGGGTGGCTCAGTTCGTTGAGCATCTGATTTAGGCTTAGGTCATGATCTCACCGATTGTGGGTTTGAGTCCTACAATTGTGGGTTTGCCCTAACAGCGCAGCACCTGCTTTGGGTTCTCTCTCTCTCTCTCTCTCAAAAATAAATAAAAACATTTTAAAAAAATTTTTTTAAAAGAAGGAAATCCGGGGCGCCTGGGTGGCTCAGTCGGTTAAGCCGCCGACTTCGGCTCAGGTCATAATCTCGCGGTCCGTGAGTTCGAGCCCCGCGTCGGGCTCTGTGCTGACAGCTCAGAGCCTGGAGCCTGTTTCACATTCTGTGTCTCCCTCTCTCTGACCCTCCCCTGTTCATGCTCTGTCTCTCCCTGTCTCAAAAATAAATAAAACGTTAAAAAAAAATTTTTAAAAGAAAAATCCCGCCATTCGTGACCGTAGGCCTACCTGGAGGCAATTATGTAAAGTAAAATAAGTCAGCCAGAGAAGGACAAATACTGCATGATTCCTCTACTAAGAGGCTAAAATAGTCAAAGGTATAGAAGTAAACAATAAAATGGCGGCTCACCAGGCAATGAAGATGGGGAAACGGAAGTTGTTCAGTGAGTATGAAGTTCCAGTTATACAGGAAGAATAAGTTCCAGAGTCGATCGTTGCACAGTGTGGTGGTTACTAGGGGTGTGAAACAAATCAACCCAAACTCCCAACTCCCAACCCAAACTCAGTGGGATAAAACAACCATAGACTACGCACAAAGATGCTGTGGGTCAGGAATTTCGACAGCGCGTCTCTACTCCGCAGTGCTGGGGCCTCAGCTAGAAGACCTCAAGCCTGGCACTGGCACCATCGATAGACTGGCCCACTCACACGCCTGGCACTCAGTGCTGGCTATTGGCTCGGGGGGGGGACCTTGGCTCCTTTCTGTCTGACCTCTCCATGTGGTCTCTCAGACCAGCTTGGGCCTCCTCACAGCATGGTGGTAACTAGGTTCCGGACTAAGAGGAGACAGCCAGGTGAAAGCCTTCCAAAAAACACACGTCTATAGAAGGAGTAAGAAACGGAACGATGGCACCTGAGGGGGCAATATTGGGCGACAGGCAGACAAAGGAAGGATGTCAAGCAGGCCAAACAGGAACCTTTTACAGAACTTTGGAAGCCATCTGCCGAGACTCAAGGGGAGGGAAAATAGACTGTACTTCTGGATGGGGGGATGGCAAGACTCTGAAGAGCATGAGCAGTCAGAAATGGCGCTGTGGCTATTTGGGGGGATAAAGTCTCCCCACACAACACTCAACTGGAGACAGGGAAGACTGGAAAAAGGCCCTGAGGTGGCCCACCAGGTGTATTATTTGGTGACTTGGCTACCAAGCCCGGGAGCAAGCACTCTGGAACACTAGAAAGAAGTGACAGACCCGATCCCTAACCCCCCCCCCCCCCCGCCAAGGAGTCTCCACTCTCATCAGGACAGACACAAATCTGGCCACAATGGAAGGACGCAAAATGTGGGGCGCTTGGCTGGCTC